TTATTATTTATAAAAAAGTTAATTTATTGTCAAAGTTATCAATATTCTTGCATAATATTATTGGCGTATTAAATACATAGTACATAAATGTTATTGGATCTTTGCTTAAAATTTTTAAAATAGTTAATGAAATGTACGTGCAGAAGTTTGCAAAAAGAAATTTGACAGAATTTTTCTTTTTCTTTTTTTCACTGCACTTAATATGTTCGGAATTTTTCTCGTACAGTAAAACCTGTTTACATAATTGTTAACTTTGAAAATTTAATTCGATTGTAATTATTTAAGTTAGTCGAAAAATTAGTTGGTTATGCCTAAAAACACATCATCTCGAAAACATACGATTAAAACCCAGCATCCGCTTACGTATTGTTAAGAAAATAAATAAATAAATAAATAAAACACGTGTCAAATATTTTTAATAATATATCTGACGAACTTTATGCGTTTTTACATTTTATAAATTCTTTTTTTCTAAAAAGTTTAATTCAACGACACGATTTATCAAACTGCTTCAATAATGTCCCAGCGGTCTTATCGTAATATGCGATGTAAACCTGAGTAACCCCTCAACCATTAACTCCAATACAAATGACGTCTCAAAATTAAATGATTTTGCCTAATAACGGATATAATAATAAAGCCCATCATGATAAAATTTTTCACCAATTTTTATTCTCAGTATCTTGTGGCTGATATTCTTTGGAAGAAAAATTAAATTACCTTCTGGCTTTTTGGGAACGAACTCGAGTGTCCTTGACTTGCTTCTCAGGAACTCGCCAGTGCCATCGATCCAAATGTACTTGGCTTGAATTCTATCTTCCGGCTGAGGCAGGGCGTAGAATTTATTCAGCAGGGTCTTGTCCAGAGCTGCGTTTGGCGAGTCATCGAGCATAGCCTTGGATAAGCTGCCAGTTGTGCTGTAATTTAACGAAACATTCATGTTCTTGATTAATTTAATTTGAAGCAAAACATTTCATTTTGTTGCAGATGTGGCACATTTTTGTTGACGACTCTTTTGATTTCAAATCCATAAGTATTTATACAAATTTTATTTTTTACAATGCATCTACGATTTTTCTCGACATTTTCAAATCTAGAATTTAAATTTCAAATCGAGAATCTAGAGTTTAACGTGCCTTTTTCATAAAATGGCCTTTTTTGTTATAACCCGTAAAACTTCACCAAATTTCTTTATACAAAAGATATAGTGAAAGTTATAAGAAAGACTGATGCCAAAATAAGAATGAAACGCTGTATCAATCGTGTCACGATGCTTCACAGAAAAAAAATTTCGTCAATCCAAATAAACGATTATTCTAATACAAAAAATATTTATTCGAGTTAAATAGACATGTATTCCAATCAAGTGATATAAACTTAAAGCAAATAGATAATTTCTTTATAACGTAAAAATTAATCGTTAAAAAAAAATGTTTATTTTTAAAATGTTTTTGTTTGTTTGTACTCGAGTGAATTTTTATTTGGATTGACAAAATTTTATTTACAGTGCTTCCAGACTCCCGCCTCCGTTTCACCACTTCGCCTTCGGTGAAAGATTAAATCAATTCATGCGTCTGTCAAACGGTTAGACGTCATAAAAGTTGTATACAAAGTCGATAAAACTTTAATTCGTACATCATGATGTTGTCTATTACAAGAAAAAAACTTGCTTCTGCTTCCAATGAAAATATTTAATATTTTCTCTGAGATTTTGAAAAAAAAGTGAATTTTCCGGAATTCCCTACAAAGCAAAATACATTATGAAGGCATTTTGGCTGTAAAAACGTTTTAAAAAATGGATAATTTAACAAAAATAGTGCTGTTTAATCATAACAACGAAAGTTTTAAATTGAGCATTATATTATGTTTTTGGAATTTATAATTTCTGTTAATGTAATCAAGCGAATAACTACCATTAACTTTTGCATAGATCATGCAATCGTGAGTATGGTAAAAAAAATTTTTTTTCAATTTGACAAAACAGAAGTATCAATTAACTTTAAAAATTTTTGTTGATAGAAATATGTACGTCATTTTTTAGAAAAATATTTGAAACTACATTAAAAATAATATGGTACTCTTTTAGAGCTTGAATCGTATTCTTTTTCATTAGAATTTGAAACACATTATGTATCGTAAGTGTACATGACGATGCGGTGCCAATTAAATTACGACACCTACTTAAGGAGCTAAAATCGTTAGCGTCAATAAATGAATACAAGCGAACACGGTATAAATTATGCAGTATGCAGGTATATTAGAAAATCCACAAAAAAAAACCCGTATTTTGCTCCCGATTTTTAAATAAAATTTTTTTTTTTACGCACACCATTGAGATAGGGCTTGTTTATTTCGCATGAGGAAAAAATTGTGAACAGCATATTCAGTAGAGGTGACACCCATATTCATAACTTTTTCCCCATAGTACATGACATTGAGAGTAAAATCAGACCAGATTAAAGGGTGTGCCTCAAAACAAGCTATTATTTAAAAAATCGAGGACAAAAACGAAGTATTTTTTGTGAATCTCCTCATACACTTATTCACAAAGCGAACGCTCGTCAACAAAATCAAAAAAATCTAAGTCACACTGATAGTCAGTACAGTGGTATAAAAAAAGCTACGCTTGCTCGTGATAAGGATAAGGATGCGCCTCTTATTCCGCTTTTATTGGCAACAGCGAGTAAAAATAGACTCAAGTGCGGGAGCTCCGACCATTCATATGTATTGTTATCTCGATCTGAGAGTTTTTTCAGTGGAGGAAATTTAAATTTATGCATTTTGATTCACGGAGCTAGAAATGTTTTACGAATATAATAGAAATAAAACGGGGGGAATTTAAAGATCGCAGGATACGTTAGAAGTCTGGATTAGATGTTTGTACGATTTTATTAAAGAGCATCTCATTTGTTGGGAATTTTTTTGAATAACTCATTCAATGCTATTCTGGTTTTGAAATCTAATTTCAGTAGTACAGTTCAACAATACAAAATTTGATTACGATAAATAAAAACCTTAAGATTTTGAGGATTGGGAAAAAAAAAAATTTAGTTTTTTTAATAAAAAACAGGATTTGCAAAAAAATTTCTGAAGATTCATAATTAAAGAAAAAGAAACAACGAAACAAAAACATCCTATCATTAAAACGTGAATTTTTATACAAATCGTTGTATCAGCTCCAAGCCGCATCATTGGAGGCGTAGACGAATGGGTTGAACATGGTAATTTTTAATAAAAATGTTGTATCCATATTGAAATATTTAAAAAAAAGTAAGCTGTGTAACGGGACAAATAAATAATTCATTTTAGCTAATTTTTTGCAAAAGAATTTCAAAATGGGTTAATCACCACAAAATTTTTAAGTTAAATATTTTTCTCATTTATAATTATGGTATCAACATATCATCGACCAAGCCCCAAAAAATGAATCGGATTCGTTCAAAAAATAGCTAAGATGCGCGCACGTTCCTTGCCCGTATACAACATTCCATCGAGAACGAAAAAACTCAGTATATACGTGTAGAGATAAAAAAGAGAGAATAAAGAAAAAAGAGAGTCTGCGTCGAGTATCACAGTATGCGTGGATGCGCGAAAAATTCCTCCCCTCCACCGTACCACCGCCCCACGGCGTGTGCAGCACGTGCTCAGCACGCGATCGACACGTGCTTGCGATCATCCGTGGCAGGGCCGTTCATGAAGTTTTCGAGTGCCCGCTCCGTTGTGGCACTCCCCTCAGTAACGTTGATTTTTTTTTTCTTGGAAACGCTATTAAAAATATTAATTACATTTTAATCGACACTAAAAAAAATAGGATAAGTGCTTTGTTTGTTTACATTTAAATCAATAAAAAATGTATTAGTAATTTATTTTTAGATGACGAAAATAGAAAAAACAAAAAAAACAAAAACAAAAACCAACAACTCGTGTGTAGGTGACAATTACATCATAAGTGAAAATCAGTTCCAAGACCTCATTATTGAACTATTGATAACTGCTTATCTATGAAACAGTTATTTGTTTTTAAACTTTTAGAACGAAAATTTCTCTTACAATGTGTTCGTTAATGAGATCTTTGTTTTTTTTAATTATTTTATTTTCAAAACAATAGCGATGAAATCGATTTAAAAAATACTCTGTATTGTATCACTGAAGTTTTTTTTGTCCGGTAAATTATGACGAATCCGTTACCCCGAAAAACGCTAATTATACAGCCAGAGCGACTTTCATAAAAGGGTCGAAACTTTCAAACAACCATAATACAAGAAAAACCAGTGCACCGTACGTATACTTACAGTAATTTTAACTTTTTCCTCCAATCAGTTTCGAACCGGTACCCATAGTTGCATTCAGGTATACATGTACATAAAACAGCACAGTACCGAATGTACGAAAAAAAAAATATCAAAGCAGAGCAAAAAAACGGCTATACACTGAGAAAAACATTGTGTGACTTTAAATTCTCTGGAGAGTACAGATTCGAAATACACTTAATGTTCGATGGTGAATTAAAACCATCTTATTGCTAACATGTTTCTCAATCATTTCGACTTTCTTATCAATTGTATAACAACTTTTCTTTTGAAGATGCTTTGTGTCACATTTACAAAAAAAGCATTCAATGACAAATCTATATAGTTACCATTCGTCGTAATATCTACGACAGGTATTACGAGTAATCATTAGTGTAAAATCGTGTCCAAATTCTCACATTGTATGCATATTATCTACGGGTGTATATATATATATATATATTTTCATACTACCGAGTTGATATGTCTCATTTAGCCCNATTATTTATTTATTTATTTATTTATTTATTACTTAGCAGTAGGAAGTCAAATATATTGTGTAATAATAATACGCTTTCGGTTCCCACAGTAACACGCCTGTTATTGAGACGTACCTATTATGTACTTATACCAGTGGGCTAATAATACTGATATATTTTTATTTCGAATAACAACAGTAAAAATAATGATGATAATTACTATGATGATGATGATGAGAAACAACGTTTTGAGCGTGTATTTGGGCGTGTGTAACTGATACCAAGAAAAAACAAAAAGTCGCTTTACACAATGGAAATACTCGATAAACACGAGTTTATATTTAGCATTAGGTATCAGCTCTCGTATTTACAATGTATCTGACTGCGTGCTGTAGGCGTTTTACTTTGCTGTTGATGATGCGCATTGGGGTTGTATCGTATGTCTCACATTTCTACTTGCTTATAAAGAAAATATTTTAACTTTACAAGCAGAATCAAGTGGATATTGATGTGGATTAAACGATGGAATTCATAAAGATGTATATATACATTTAGAACAACAATCGTGTATTTTTCCATGAATATAAGTTTCTTTAATTTGAATGAAAACCAAACTTAATTTTAAATAATCCAATACTTATGTCAACAATATACTTACACCTCTTTTGAAATATATAAATATAATAATGAAAAAAATCTAATTGAAATTTAGTAAAATTCTAGAAATAAATTACTTGGTCTATTTGTTTAAATCTATTGATTCATTAGGTAAATTGCTTTTGATTTTATAGCTTCGAATATTTTACAGGACTTGTTACATTTGAAGTAGAAAAGTTGTTGAATGTGGCTGTATCACGATCTATTGTCTTACACGTATAATTCAGTTATATTTCTTTAAAAAATTCTAGTTTACACTTTAAAAAATTTTGTTTGAATGTTTATCAGG